GTTTATCTCTGGTAAAAAAAAAAAAAAAAAAGAAAAAGAAAAGAAAAAAAATAGAATAAAATTAAATAAATAATTATTAAAAAAAAAACAAACATGCATTTTCCATGAATGAAATTTTGATGGCTCTTCATAATACAGATGAGTAAAAAAATTTATTTTCGGATGGCAAATCTTATTTATTACTCCTTTCCATGTTTATTAGGCTTTAGCACTAAACCTTGTATTCTGTTTTAATTATAATTTTTACTTCCCTTCAGCATGGTTACTATTAAGTTCAGAGCATATAAGTTAAAAAAGTTACTAATTGATCAATAATATTTGGTAATACAACAATACCAAATATTTCTTATAACATAATCATCATGGGAAATTTGTTTCAAAAGCTATAAATCTTGGGTCAGTAGGTGGCATAGTGGTTGAAGCACTGGACTCTCACATGGTTGACCATGGTTCAAGTCCCAAACATGGAGGCTTAAAACTCACGCTGGGTGTGGGTACATGTGGGCCCAAAAGAGCAAGAGGAGAAGGGACTGCTAAATGGCCGCCCTTCCTGGGAGGTGATTTCTTGCACTGTGTCTCTCTAGTAAGCACACGCACCCTGTAGCAAAATCTCTCTCGAAAAAAGCTGTAAATCCCTAAGCATTTTCTAAGAAGTAAAAATGAGATATACTAATGGGCTAAAGGGTCCAGGGGTCAAGGACACAGCAGCCAGCCCACATACACACAGATACACACACACACACACACACACACACAGGTTAACAGAGCCTCGCCATAGACACATTGGAGTTCGGCTTACGGTCATAACATATAATAGAAAAAGAATCCATGCATGGTGCACAATGGGTCCTCCATGCTGTCAACTGCTTGCTCCACTGTTGACTGAATATGAAAAATAACTAACAAAAAAGAAAGGCCCCCAGAGTAGCTGTGGGACAAGTGCCCTAGGTGGTGTAAAAGCCCTGAGTAGAACAAAAAGTTCATTTTCCCCTCTCTAAGGTTCATGTTACAACAAACGCTGGTGTTAAGATATATGGTTCTCCTGGTGAGTCACACACAAAACGTGATGCACTATATAACCATAAATAACACAGCACTCTGATCAGGTCTCTTTCTGAAAGTTTCACCTGTAGTAGGTACAGATCTTGGAAAATCTCTTCTGAACTTCAGTTCCTAATCCGATCCTCTTACAATGTAAATAACCAACCTAGTGATTTAAAGTATTATACTGTAGCCCCCCACTTATTCAGTTTGGCTTTGTGTACTTTCAGTTATCTCTGATCAATGTCAGCCCCAAAATATGCATGTATATTTTATGCCAGAGGATGTGCACACACATGTGACAGGGCAACAGTGGAGTAGTAGCTACTTTCGTGCTGTTTCAACGCGTTTTGCGGTCAAGACTCAATTTAGTCACACGTAAGGTGGCTATGCTAGTGTTCCAGAAAGATTTCTTGGTTTGGAGTAGGACTGGTAGTCAATTATTTAAGAAAAAATGTAATTACTTGGCGATGAGGGTTATTTCAAGTAACAAAAGAATAAGTAAAAATATAAAACTGCAAATACCCCATTGCTCATGCTTTCTCCGTTGATTGTATTTCTGGGCTCTCAATTCTTCAAAGGAAAATTCTGATTCTCCACGAATAAGCTTCTCTTTGCAATACA